ACTTTTCAGCGAATGATGAATAACGTCTTAACAGGTCTTACCCCTACACAATGTCTCTTATACCTGGATGATATTATTATTTTTGGGAATTCCTTAGAAGACCACTGTAATAAATTGCGTAATGTTTTAAGACGACTTCGAGAACACAATCTCAAAATTCAGCCGGATAAATCAGAATTTCTCCGAAAGGAAACAGAATTCTTAGGACACATAATCACAACAGATGGTATCAAACCTAATCCAAAAAAGATAGATGCTGTCAAAAACTTTCCCGTTCCTTCATGTCCAAAAGATATAAAATCGTTTTTAGGATTAACCGGATACTACAGGAAATTTATTCCAAACTATGCAAAGATCGCCAAACCTCTTACAGGCTTGTTAAAGAAAGATATCGCATTTACATTTCAGCAAGAACAAATTGACTCATTTAATAAATTAAAACAAAGTTTGATTACCGCCCCAATTTTACAATACCCAAATTTTGAAGAAAACTTTATTCTTACAACAGATGCTAGTTCATACGCAATTGGTGCTGTACTTAGTCAAGGCCCAAGTAATAAAAGCCTTCCGATCGCTTATGCGAGTCGCACCCTAAATTCGGCAGAAGTTCGCTACTCTACAATAGAAAGAGAATTGCTTGCTATTGTCTGGGCAGTAAAACACTTTAGGCCGTACCTTTATGGTAAGAAATTTACAATCATAACTGATCATAGACCCCTATCTTGGTTATTTTCTATTAAAGACCCAGGTTCACGTCTCGTCCGGTGGAGACTTAAACTGGAAGAATATGATTATGAAATAATTTACAAACCCGGTAAACAAAATTCCAATGCAGATGCACTTTCTAGGATCAAAATTAATACTCTGACCGCGGGCATCGATAATATACCTAATGGAATTGATTTCGATACCTATGTTAGTGACGAAAGGGATTATTTTCATGAAAATACTAGTTTAGGTAAATTTTCAGATAAACAGCACAATTACGAAGTCATAATTATGATGGATAATCCAAATTATTGTCATTACATTCTACGTGACACTCAGGACCCACTTGTTAAGGACAAATTAGAATTGAAACCGTCACTATCATTCCCAAATATAACTTATGTTGTAGATAATTCGACAAATCAAAGAGAACTCTTCGATAATTTGTTCATAATATTTACACTTATTCAAAAGGGTGATCTATTTAGATTTATTTGCAGTAAAGATACCAGTCAAGAATTAAAACGAATGATTGATTACTTACGAAATAAGTTTAATTTAGATCCCGAAGTAGAAATTCAAATTTCAAACACTTACAAATATTCAGGCGACCCTAGAAGAAAACACGAAATAATTAAAATGCATCATGACCCACCAGCGTACGGTCACAAAGGTATCAATGAAACCATAAATAAAATTCAACAATATTTTACATGGTCAAAAATTAAGGAAGACGTTACAGAATACGTAAATTCTTGTTTAGAATGCCAAAAGAACAAAACGGTTAGACGAAACTTCGAATCCCCATTAACAATTACTGAAACTCCTACCTATCCTTTCGAACGCGTAGACATGGACATAGCTGAAATATATTTCTCTATTAAAAATAAAAGACATATTCTCGTCATACAAGACCAATTAACAAAATATCTGAAAACCTACATGTTAAAGAATAAGGAAGCTGAAACAATTAAAAACAAATTTCTAAATTTTATCGCCACGTTCGGTGTTCCTAAACGCATCCACACTGATCAAGGTGGAGAATTTGTGAATAAAATACTACAGAAACTCACTTCAGAACTAAATCTTCAACATACCAATTCAATAGGTTATCACCCAAAGACAAATGGTATGGTAGAAAGGGTAATTAGTTCACTTAAGGATACAATTGCGGTATATTCCACGAAAGAAAAAAATAAATTAGGGCCCAAGGCACTTTTAAATTCTGCCACGTTCGCTTACAATACTTCTACACATTATTCTACCAAATTGACACCGTTCGAAATTTTATACGGTTTCAAGCACCGGAATTTCTTAAATCCAGACGAAGATATATTAAACGAAGTCCCAGTTTCTAATTATTTAATGGAATCAAAAACAAAACAACAAAATTTAAGAGAGGTCGCCCGTTCAAACCAAATTGATACTAAAATAAAGGTAAAAGAAAAGTACGATAGCAAAATTAAAACCCCTATACCTCAATATTCCATAAATGACAAAGTGTTCCTAAAAAACCAATTACTAAATAAACAAGGTCAATGTAAATGGCTTGGACCATATACTATAGTTGAAATTATTTCCCATAATACGGTTAAATTAGATAAAAAGAACAATAATAAAGACTTTACAATAGTAAGCACTGAGCAAATAAAACCTTATAGGATTATATCATTTTTAGATGGTCCCACGAGCAACTCCTCGTAGAAAAGTTACCTGATAGTGGAATCCATCTCGAAGAAAAAGGACTCCTTCTCCCCTCTGATTCTAAATACAATATTCTGATTTATAAAGATTTAACCCCCCTATTCCAAAATTTCATTGTTCTTGGTATATATCAAAAAGAACTAAACGAGATAGGCGATAATATTAACAGAAGCAATTTCAACACAATGCACTCAACATTATTGAAAATAAGTATAAATAAATTAGAGACGAAATTAAAGGAAATTAAGTTTTTGCTACCGAACTCAAAAAGAACCCGTAGAGGTTGGTTCAATATTTTTGGAACAGGATTGAAAACCCTTTTCGGAACCCTTGACTCAGACGATGCAGTAAAGTATGACAAATTAATAAATGAACTACAAAGTTCCAATAAAAAGATTTTGAAAATCCAGGGTGAGCAAGCGCACTTGACAGAAATGATACTATCAGATTTTAATAATTCACTAGCAAAAATAAATAGTAACGAAGAGACTCTCCGGGAAAATATATTGGCTATAAAGAAACAGATTTTTAACAATAATATTAGATTAGATGAAAATCGCATTTTTTTACAATATTTGGATTTACTCACGTTATTAAACGATCTAGCAATAGAAATGAATAAACAGGTCGATGAAATAGTTGAAACATTGTCCTTTGCCAGAATCAACGTTCTGCACCCTAGCGTTTTGAATCACGTCCAGTTAGAAGAACAATTGAGTCATGTCGCTCAAAATGAAAACACACTGCCTTTTCCTTTTGACGATTTTAACATTTATAAATATTACCAAATTATGAGTCCTAAATTATTCATTTATAAAAAAGGAATACTAATTAAACTAACAATACCGTTGGTTAAGAATATTAAATTGAGATTATATAAAGCATATCCTTATCCCGTTAAATTTGAGAACGACCTTTATCATACTATCATTCCCGAAAGTTCCTATGTGGCAATTTCTGATGACCACCAATGGTACCTTGAAATGAATGAATTAACACCCACCATTCACACGGAAGATATAATCATACTACAAGATGCTGAACCCCAGGATACCAAAAACCCTAATCGTTGTCTACCAAAATTATTGATGCGCAAAACATTCCCTCAAGAATGTGCCGTTTATAGCTTTAAAGCAATAGAAAACAACATTCAGCAAATAAATTTCACTACTTGACTAATCGCATCTATCAAACATCTAGACATCACCTATAAATGCAAGAGTTACCCAATTAAGAAAGTCACGATAAAGGAACCATCGCTTTTCACCATTTACGAAGACTGTACCTGCTATTTCAACAACGGTCTTCGTATTACAACCAATGACCGACGAAACGTAAGATTAAAGGACATTGCAGTATACATCCCGGAAATACCGCGAAATTGCTGTCATGAAGACATCAAAATTCTAAAAAGACTCGAAAGTCAACCCATTGACCTCAATTACCTAAAGGAAGAAAATATTCCGATTCTTAAAACAAAGCTTGCCGACGTACAAAAAGAAATATTGAAAGAATCCACTAGGAGTTTTACATCTGTATATTCAACTTGGTTCTATGCAACACCAACAACACTAATTTTCCTTTTTCTTTTGACATACTTCTTATGTCGTTGCTGTTGCTGGTTAAGAATACTGAAATGGAGATCAACGAGCAATCATCTTCGAAATCAGAAAATTTCTAAATCCGCATCCCAATCTCTGAACAAGAAAGTCGACAATGATCCAAATCAATCATCGATGGATATGTCAACAGTCGAACATAAACCGAGTACCACCCGAAAATTCAAGCCGCCTACAATTCCTAACGCCGATCAAAAATAGTTATTCTAAATTGTAATCTTATTGAAAAATTAATTTTAGCAATAAATTTTAATTTTTCAACTTAATGGGGGCGGTGTTAGATACGTAATATAGGGATAAAACATAATAATAAGACATTTTACTTAGCTTTGCTTATTTTTCCATATATAAAGTTTGTTGCAATAAAGATGCTTTACTCTAGCTGTAGACTAGGCCTTACACCGTGTGTGTATTGTAGCTTTGCTCAATAAATTCCTTAATTTGAGCATATAACACCTGCACCCCCTCAAAACTTTAGTTAGGTAGTAGACATCCTATTTCAAGGTAGCCAGAGTGTTGATTTGTATAGTATAATAAAAATAATAATAAGCAAAATACATTTGTTTATTTTTAAAATAGTTGTAGGAAGTCGTAAATGTTTGTACATTTTTTTTTTACTGTTACCATTAAGCAGACACCCTCTCGGCAGGCTCTATACCGTCGCTTCTTAGGAGTGAGAAACATTGCCACCCCAAAATACTTGTTCTCGGGTCAAGTCATAAACTTGTAGAAATAGTTTCTACTTTCATTATGTTCAGAAATTGTATTTTAAAATTGTAAAATCAGCAGCACCAACAACACATAATATTAAAGTAAACGCATATATCTGACTATTTATGTCCATATCAATACAGTACAAAAGGAGAAAATGAAGAATTATTTTTTGTATCTCAAAACAGTAATGAACAAAACAATATTAATTATTTTCCGAAACACTAATCAAATAAATACCAACAAAAGTAAAATGGATAAATTTAAAAGTGTGACAAATGTTTATTAAATTTAACATAATTTTATTGTACATTACACCATAATATGAGTATAAAACTCCTTTTTCATTACCTTATATGTGTATGTCAATGAGTTGAAACCATCCACCTTCTGCTTAAGCAGTGAGTTTTTCAGCTCATTCCACCTATTATTACTGAAAATTGAGGTGTTATAAAATATTATATTTTAATCCGTTAACATATTACAATTACCTGGGTTTTGCTTTTTTATGTTGTAACATTTGATACATATTATATGAAGGTGGAAATCTACATAGAGATAAATTTGAAGATAGTATTCTCCTAAAACAAATAGAAACATAATTTAAAGGTGAAAGATGAGAGTTAGGCTATCTAAACCAAAATTAATTTTTATTCAGCTGAAAAAAACTAACAAATTGACAACGCAGCGATCTGATGCTAATTTATCGTTTTCCTGCTACAGAGCGGTAGAGTTAAAATACGTTAGGTTATCTAAATTGCTAAGGCGTCTAAATTTATCCGACTGTAGACAGATGTCAGAAGAACTACAACAGTATCTGTTCCTGAAAAGCAGTTAATCAGCATAACATTTGCAGTTTCTGTATAGTATTTTCATTATGTTACGCATTTTCTTACGGGACACCGGTGTCTCAACCAGTACTCCTTCAGTTGATGAAGTGGTCTACGAGTACTTTTGCGAGTAAAGAGCTGTAATCGAAATAGTCAGAGGCTATCTCACAGGGACAGTTGAGAAGTCGATCCCAAAAAGTAGTGATCCTCTGTTTAATATTGCTCGGTATTAATTACTTGCTATTTATTAATATTTATTTGTGACATGATACGGGTGATGGTTGAACTTTTGGATGTATAATAACGTAATAAGTATAGTCAAAAAGGAGGCTCAACCTCGGAATGATAGATAATAAGCTGTAAATTTGTACAAACCTTTAATTTGACATTGTCAAAATTGCGTCAAAAGTCACAACATCTCGTGTCCGCGTCTTAATATATTCAAGGTCAAAGGTCACTAAAATCGATATTTCGCAAATATTTCGCTACCTATGGTTTCAATAACATTTGTACCTATCATGAAAATTGTAGATCATAATTTTTTTTTATACGTTTAACCGTTTTCGAGGTAGAGCGCAGCAAATGCGCAGCGCTTAGCACAAAGTCAACCGTGAGTCCTGGTAATCAACATATCAATTGTGTATACTATCAAATTCAAACATGGTTAGGGACTGATTTGATTTATTTTATATGACGTATTAATAACCGGGACTGTGCAGTGTACCATATATAACTAAGTGCTGCGAGTTCTTCGCGCTCTACCTCAAAAACGGTTGAGCGTATAAAAAAAATTTGGAACAAAATTTGTAGAAACTTTTATGCTCTATAATTTTTATAATAGAAGTAAATGTTACTGAATCCATAGGAAGCATGATATTAGCGAGTTGTAATTTGATTTATCAATCGAAAGCTATACCACAGTCATAAATGATCAACAAAACGACCACGAAACAAAAGAATTTCAAGAGATTGCCAGAAAAATGAAGATTCTTAATCTAGAAAACTCGATGATGTTAATATGCAACTGAATCTTGAGGAAGTCAGTCGATATATAAACAGATGATTGGTTCGAATAATAAAACGAATACAGACATTATTACCGTGCGAGATAATAAGTTTAATTAACATTTGTGAGATAAATAAGTAGATTAGTTTTACTAAAACTTGCAGTTATCGCTCTTTAAATATTTCATTTTCACTTAAATACATAGATATCCTATAAATAAATACTGCAACTCTATTAAACAATAACACTAAACAACATAAAAATAACTAATAATATCTCATTTGGATTTTTTTTACATTAAACATTTTTGATACTTTTAATTGAAAAATCGGTTTCGACGTCATACTATGAAATTTAATACTCATATAAACAATGTTTATATTTTTGTATAATCGTTATAAAAATTGTTTGTATTTTTTTTCATAATTTTTATTGTTTATTCAATAAACAATTAACGATATTTATGCATTCTACACGGGATAAGGAGATTTTTTTCTTTTTATTAGATTTGTGGAACATTAAACTTTTAGAATTTAAAATAAGTCATCGCTCTGTTTCGATTTTTGTAAGATAATTTTTCTTTTTTATAAAGGCGCTGCTACGCGACCGCAAATCACACTCGCATTAGCCTCCTGTTTAGGGGTGGTAATTCTCTCCAATGTAGTTACTGAACTTTATTAGTTATTTGTGCATATAAATATTGAATATTTGGAATTTTATTATAAGGTAATCTACATTTTTAATAATATATTTTATCGGGAATTAAATAATAGAATTATAAACGCTAAATAAGAGTATATATTAAAATTGTAAATTCTGCCTCATCGCAATAATAGTACTAGCTGTAATTGTTTTTCTGTGTGTACGATTATTTGGTCATGATATTCGTTTTTATCTACCTAATTGATTTAGCACTTAAATAGTCGAAAAAAAGACTAGGTATAGCGATATCAAAGATTTTTTGAAGCAGTTGAAAGAAAAGTGGTTAGTCTTGTTGAAATATGATTTTTTAGCGAAATCACAAGGGGCTTACTTTGTAAAAAAAGAATTACCTGAGAAAGGAGAATTTGTTGCGTATTTGGACTTAAAATTATTCCTTCTATGTACAAAATGCTATTCATTCATATCACTGGACAAATGACTAAGCAACGCTGCATACTCATTATAAAATGGATGGGATAGTAAAGCATTTAAATTATGTGGTTATATCGCAAAATATTACACATTATTTTACTTCAGTTCATCTTTTTAATTTTAAATTAATAAATTCTTTAAAAGCATAATTTAAAAAAGATGACCTATTTTTCTGATAGTTCAAGGTCTCAATACAAAAATAAATACAACTTTTTAAATTTAGTAAAACATCAATTGATGTTTTATTGACAATATCATCTGCTAGTGTAACATGAATTTGGTTGCCGAAATTAGCCTGACATTGGTATATTGTTACAGCAGTTGGCTATAATATAGGGAATCTTTTTCCACAAGTAGTACCACAAACGAAAGACTATTAGCAGGCGAGAACTGATAAATATTTACAAGAATGACAATAAATTTCATTACCTAGTAAAGAAAGTATCAGAGATTTTACGTATTAATGAGTTAGACACCACATAAAAAAAACTGTCCAAGTTAATATTTGACTACAAAGCGAAATGGAAAGCTGTTTTTAGGACCAAACCGAATTTGAATGCAAACACAAAAGTTGGATAAATTGTACAGTTCATTTCTTAGTGCCGATAAAACGAAAATTAGGGGCACCAGAAAAAAAAAATCAAAGATTGTAGCGAAAGATAAAAAAGAAGGAAAACGGAAACATTAAGAAAAGAAACCGAAATTATTATGTTATTATATGCAGTTCAAATGAAATGTAGAGCAGAAGGAATGACCGACAGGAGTAAAATGTTAGCTATTCCAAGTGCAAACGCATCGGAAAATAAAATTGGCGGGAACAAAGCATTATCAATTCTCATTAGCCCAAATTTGTCCAAATTCCAATACAACACTATAAGAAGTATAGCCAGTGAAGAAGGTCATAATATATACGAATCTGTAACTAGAGCTAAACAAAGATGCTATCCAGAAAATATTTTCGTAACTGAACACGATAAAAAGACGTTTATTGTCCTTAGAAGAATTGTTTTCATGTTGGACGATAGTGTAGACTCCATTGTTATAATAAGCAAATGGGGTTGTGACCGGTCTTCTGGACAATCTCAATATAAACAAAATTTCGAACTATCAGCAAATGATGACTAGCATTTTTGTGACATCACTTGTACCTATTAAATTAATTTCTGGAGATCTAAACGGTAATCATTTAGTATTGTGGCAAAATCAACCACCTTCCTCGCCTAGATATTGCAGGTCTATACGATTACAATTCATTCCCGAAACAACTCAGTTACTGAAACAAGAAGATAAATATATATCAAACCAAATCACAAATTTACAACCCTCTACGTTCGAAACTTCCCGTGGAAAACCCTATCAGTTCATCACAAATTAATTCTGAGCATGGTTGATGGAAAAGCGGTTAATGCTACAACAATGACATCATCCAATCTAAGGTATAATTTATGCAGTTTGACTTCAAAAAACTTCAAAAGTTTCAATTTGTTCCGATCTAAACCAATTATTGAAAGCAGTCTGAATCTTGGAATGTCACCTTTGCACTGTTGGATACACTTTTTTGAGTGGCTATTGCATTTGTCTTACAAACTGAAAATATCAAAATGGCAAGCGAGAGGAGAATAAGATAAAAAAAAAGTTGAAACAGAGAAGAAAAAAAAACAGGACAAGTTTAAAACAAGACTGTAGATTGTGTTGATTACAATTAATAGCGGTTTTTCAATTAATACAAAGCAATTCAAATTATTTTGCTGGAAGACAACTGCTTTGTATCTAAAACTTGGTACTCAATTCCCACAACAGTTCATCGAGTTTTAATCCATGGCTCTGAGGTAGTAAAACATGCAATAGTATCAATAGGTCTTCTGTCAGAAGAAGCGCAAAAATCAAGAAATAAGGAAATAGAAATGTATCGTAGAAATTTTACAATGAAAACGTCCCGAATTAATACCATCAGAGATTTATTTAATAAATTACATGCATCATCCGATCCCTACATAACGAGCTTGCGCAAAACACTGAGAAAGTCAAGTCTACAATTGTCCCAGGACGCGATTAGATTAATGAAAGAACCAGACATCGAGTAGTATATTTCATTAATTAGCATCCATTTAATTTGAAAATATTTCTAATAGTTTATTTCACAAAACTTCTTATCTTACGTTATGTTTTTCGATAAATAAATTTATAACTATTTAAAATCGCAAGTAGATAAATAAAATATAACAAATATTAAATTGGTAAGATAATAACGAAATGTTTTAATTATAGTATAGGCACTGGAGCATGTATTAATGATTTTATGTAATTATCATTCAATCATTTTAGTCCCAGAAGGTTTGCTTTCAACTAAATTATACTTATTAGACACATATTTATCATTAAAATATTTTGGTCAACTTTCTAGTAAATTTCGCCAGTGTGTCGCACGGAAAAGCCGTATGCGATGGTTTAAGCCAGTTATTCTCAGTCACTGTGCCGCGACACTTTACTATCCCGCAAGATTCTTAAAGTGTACCGCCAAATATTACAGTAAAATAGCGGAGGAAACTTTTGGAGAATGCATTTTGCTGCCTGACTATGCATCGAGAAAAAATCCGAAATGTATAGTGGTGTAACCTACGTCTAGAAGTGATAAACAGATGTACCCCCTCATTTCATCCTGTCCCAATGGCCGATACACAGCAGGGGTGCGTTCGTTTTTGAAAGAATTCGGATAATTGCGTCCGCACGTCCATTTTTACGATCATAACAACGCAAATAGGACGCACGTACGTACCCGAACATAATTTTCCTCTAAATACGAATACACTTTGATTGTAATGCTATTTAGTCACACTTAGTTGCCCTAGTCGCCCTTTGGTGTGGGTGCGTGTACAGTACAGACAAAAGCTACTTTCAGAAATTATTATCTGCAAGATTCAAGCAAGTAAAGGTTTGACAAAAAAATTATTGTACGTTACGAAGATGTAATAATAATCAAAAATACGCGTTAGTATCATTACTATAAGACATTAAATAATGAAACTAATGTGTAAATCTATTTCAGAATGTAATACTTTTGTAAACAATCGTATCCTAAAGAAGATGCTAAAAAATAAACATAATAGTTAATTAATTTTTTTATATTTAAGTCAACATCCACTTCAATTGCGTGATTGGGTTAACGAATTACCCGATTATTTTATAAATTCAATAACATTTATATGCATAAATAATTAATAATGGTCAG